AGAATAATTTTCTTTATTAAATAAATCAAATGGAATTGAAAGACGATCACAATATTTAATTACAATTTTCATTATACCAGATAGAAGATTATTATTATTATCTATTGATGGAATTTCAATTGGTAATGATTGTTTTGATTTTGAAAAAAATGGTGGATAACGAATTTTATAATTTGGCCAAACATTTTTACGTTTTATACTACGTATTATACGTTCACGTATAATTTTTGCTAATAATGGAAATTCACGATTATGTAAATAAGATTTAACTTCTAAATCAATTAATGGTTCATTTTGAAAAGCATATAACCAATGTGAAAATGGTTCACGTCGAAATTCTAAATGCATATGTCCTTGAATACGATTAATTTTTATATATAATTGACATTGATAATTATATTTAAGTTTAATATCAAGTGTACAAGAAAATCCATTTTTATAACTACCATAAAGTTTAGCTACAAATTCCTAAAGAATAATTATTTATAAAAATTTAATATAGAATATATTTTAAATAATAAATATTTATACTTTAATTAATTGACGTTCATCTCGTTCTTGTCGTTCAAAACGAATATTATTGAATTTTGGACATTCTTTTCCAAGAGAAAAATTTTGTATCTATAAATAGTATAGATAATTTTGAAAATAATTGTTTATGTTAGTAGATATTATATATATACTAAAATATCTTGAATAAATAATTTTCCAAATCGTGTTTGTTTTATTTCATCAAATTCGATATGTAATTTCTGCATAAAATATCGTCTTAATTTTGATGTATCATTTAATTCTTGAAATAAAATATATAATAAATAATTTACAACATCAACTGTTGAATTTTTTGCTTCATCATACTAAATTTAATAATTAATATGAAGAATACTTTAAGAAATATAGACTTACTTCAGACAATGGACGAACTTTTTGGTATTGTTCTTCTGAGAAAATAGTTCCTGGTGAATATAATCCATAACGTATCAATAAACATATGAATAAAGCAATTGTTGATAAACATCCAAGAAGATAACTGAGAAATATAACTAATAAAAACATTATTATTTCTTATCCATCTTCAATAATAGAACATTAAGAAAACAAAATGCTAAAATTTTTGATTTTATTTTTTTTGTTTTAGACAATTTTCTTTATTATTATTATTATTTTCTTTTTTAATTATTGTTGTTCGTTTGGTTGTATTCAAAATTCTTTTTCTTTTATACACACACTTCGAAAGCGTCATACAAAACTATACAAACATGTGAGTGAGAGATAAAGAAACAAAGAAAAAGAAAATAAAAACGCACACAATTAGTTAGTATCCACCCCCTCTAACATTTCAAAATTTTTTCATAATTCTAAACTATACACACACACACACACACATATATTTTATTTTTCTTTTTTTTTGTTTTCTATTCGGAAGAAATTTTTCTCAAAAACAAAAAAAAACCAAATGATAAATTATTTACAAAGACACATCGTTATGTTCTTTTATTTTAGCAACAAAAAAAAAGAAAAACCAAAAAGATCACTGCGAGAATAACGCAATAGAGAAAGAACAATAAATTAAAAAGGAACAAACATAAAGATTGAATAAGATTTGAGTGTATATATATATATATATATATATATATATGTGTGTGTGTATATAAATGTTTAGACAATCAAGTCAAACTAGGATTTTGTATAAGTAAAGAATTATCGTCAATAGTCGATGATAAATGATGATTAAAATTTTGTGGAACATATGTAAATAATGGTGGAAATGTTGTTCCGGACGGTGATGTATGAGTTCTCTGAGATGGATAATAGCTGTTCGTTGATTGAAATTCTATTGGTGCAGCAAGATCTATTGAATCAGTTGGGTAACTATTAGTTAAATAAATAGAACTATTATTATTATTAGTTGTTGTTGTTTGTTGAGCAGGATATGGTCTTGGAATTCCTGGTATAAATGAATCTGTTGGTTGCCAAAGATTTGGTGGTTGTACTGTTTCAATTAAATGTCGATAACGAAGGCCTATAAAATAGAAAATATCATTATAAAAATTAGGTTTTTGTTGTTATCTTTAGATTAAAGTTAAGTTATAAGAAGCGTTATGGACTGTCCCATAGCGAGCAGATATTTATAAAAAAAAAAAACTTTGATTATATAAAGCATTTTTTTTTTGTTGTTGAAATGTAGGTTGTTTTATTTTTTGTATATCTCTATTTTTTATTTCTATATAGAAGAAGACAAAAGAAAAGAAAAGAAAAAAAAAAGAAAAAAAAACAATTTGCTCATTTATGACTATTAAAAAATGTATTGTTAGTAATAATCATAGTTTTTCGTCCTGGATTTTTTACTTGCTGCTGGTCTATAAACAAAGATTAACTCATTATTAACTATATTCTTTTTTCTCTTATTTAAATTAAATAAGATCGAAAGAAAAAAAAAACAAAAAAAAAAAAAGAAAACAATTCTAATTTTTCTTTTTTTGCTTTTTTAAAACATACTTGGATCAAGATTAGGTGAACTATTCGAATTAAGATTTGACAATGGATTATTATTATTATTATTAGTAGTAGTAGTATTATTATTATTATTATTTGTTGTTGTTATTGGATGATTAACATTTGATGTTTCATCATAAGATCGTTTGAAAAAACTCGATTGTAATGCATTAAATGGTAATATACGTCGTTTGGGATCATATTCAAGCATTTGTTGAACAAGTTCTTTAAATTTAACATAATCTGATACGGAATGATTTTGCTCACCAGCCCGACGACCACCTGGACCACCAATATCAACACCAAGAACATCATGTAATTTACGTGTACCAGGTGATCGATACTAAAGACAAAAAAAAAAAAGCAAACAACATTTGGAATAAATATTTCAATAATAGAGATGATTGAAAAGTTTTTTAGACAAAAGATATTTATTTAATTTTGATTCGTTTGAAAATATTAAAAGCTATGTTCTTTTCAAATATGGATATAGAAAATTTTATTGGAACTTTCTAAAAAAACTATCAGAGTCAATCGTTTCTACTAAATGTGATATTGAATTAAACTGTAGTTTTTATCCAAGCATTTTTTTTTTCAATGTAAAATATTTTTCGATTTTTCAAAAATGAATATTTAGATATCTTATCAAAAGACAAAAACAAAACTTCATATATAGTACATTTTCTAGGATAACTTATAATCTACAAGTTGATGATACTCGAATAAAATTTCAAAGTCGATATTCGAAAAAAACATAGCTTTTGATACTTTCCAGTCGGTCAAAATTGAACAAACATTCTGATCATTCGTTAAAAATAAAATGATTTTGTCTTTTTTTTTTTTTTTTTTTTTATAAATATTTACCCTTCTTTCTTTACTCTTGCGTGGTATCCATGTATTATCAGGTAGGCGATCAAAAAAACGTTTAGTTTTTGTTCCTTGTTCAAGTATATGAGTTGGTGGTATACCGAGTACTTCGACAATTTTCATCATTTGATCAAACTAAAAGAATATAAACAATAAATATTTTGATCTTCAACAAAAACAAAGCTTTTTAGAATATCTAGTCTTACAAAGAAGTCACACGATTCATATTGGGTCTACAAGTAGGTCTTATCAAGAATGTTTTACTGAATCTTCGATTTACGCTTAAGTGCATACGGAAAAACAGAATTCCTTTATCGAGATATTCAATTCTCGATTTTTATATCAAATCTGTTGGGTTTGAGTTCGAAAATTTTGGACCTGACGGACTCTACAAATAATTACTTTTTAGAAATTCTACTGATCATTCTACCTATATATGGGGAAAATGGTCATCTCGGAATTCTTTTCTGATCTTTTTGTATGTATTTAACCGTTAATCAAAAATTCAGTAAAACAATCATAAATTGACTCCAAAAGCTCATTGAGACGAATCCTTTTAGAATTTCATTAATCTCATCAAGACATCTCTGTGAGAATATCAAGATGGACCACAAAAAAAATGTTCACCGTTCAGTATAAGGAGCTGTTCACTAGTAGAGATTTTATTGTATTGATAAAATACGATGAAGGTTAATTCATTTATCTGATGTGAATAATTTTATTATAAAGAATTATCTTTTTTGAATATTTGTAGAACGATCAAATCATTTGGAATAAACATGAAAACCTTTCTTTTTGGTGTACTTGTCAAAATATTAACTCAGATTAGTAAAAATGTCAAATATAAATCTCGATTGAATTCATCATCAATATTGAAATTATCTATTTTTAAACTTAAACTTCAAATATGAAGCAGATAAAAATCACTTTTGTACATATCTTTAGAAAATACTTAATTTTTCTTCATTCTACATATTATGAAAGGCTTCTCTCCTTACAATAAATAAGATGCACAACAGTATATTAAAGTCAAAAACAAAACAAAAACAATTTTTAAATTAACATACTTCATTTGTACCACTAAATAATGGTTCGCCAGTATGCATTTCAACAAGAATACAACCAAGGCTCCACATATCAATCGCCATATCATATGGAATACCAAGTAACACTTCTGGTGAACGATAAAATCGACTTTGAATGTATTGATAGAGCTAAAAAAAAATATATATATATAATTTTTATCTTTTATTAACAATAAAAAAAATAACATACACGTTGACCAATTTGACATGAACTACCAAAATCAACAATTTTAATAGCAGATCGTTTTGGATTAACCAAAAGAATATTTTCAGGTTTCAGATCTAAAAGTTTAAAATTCAAAAACAAAAGAAAATTATGTTTTTTTTTCTTTTTTTAAATAACATACCGCAATGAAGTATAGTAAGCTCAGGTTGAGAAAGAAATAATAATGCAGATAGAAGTTGTAAAGCAAATTTTCTTGTTAAATTAAGTGATACACCACGAAAATTTGTATTTCGTAATAAATCATATAAATTATAGGATAATAATTCAAATACAAGACATAAATGATTACGAAATGTAAAATGTCGTTTTAATTTAACTGAACAAAAAAAAAAAAAAAGAATAAAACAAATTTATCAAAAAATTATAAATCTAAAGTGAAGACAAAAAATTTCGAAATTCTTGCCTTTTTTCCCCTCCTTAATGATAACAGTCAGAAGATATGAGTAGCTGAAACAATATCCCATTAGGAGGCGTACTGGTCAAATTACCATTAATAAGTTTTGGTAAAAGGTCTCTGGAAAATCAAAAAAGTTCATCGAATAGAAATAGCACTTTCGGTCTTCAGTATTGTCCGATAGGTCTGAAATCGGTGGCGGAGTCAGAGAGAGCTCGTTCGAAAGTCTCGCTAGGCAGGGAACTGAGTCCTCACTGGCTTCGTCAATGATTTCAGACCTATTGCACAATGCTGAAGATCGGAAATACTATATCTATTAGAGAAACTTTTCTAATAGAACTTGAAAAACTGGTTTTGAATTTCCAGAGATCTTTTACTCAATCCTGTTAATGGTAATTTGAGAAGTATTCCTTCTGATAGGAAATTCTTTTAGCTACTCAAATCTTTTCTCTGAATGTTATCGCTAAGGAAAAAAAAAAGGCAAACTAAAAAACATACCAATATAACCATTATTATCCATATCCTGTTGATTCATTAATTCAAGAAGACGTACTTCAATTTGAGCTTGTGATAGAAATGGACGTTTATTTTTGATTATTTTTATAGCTACATATTCACCATCAGTATGATCAAATGCTTTGACAACCTGAATAAAAAAATCTCGAATAAGTTAA